GTTTCATCTTGCTCTTCAGTGTGAAATTTGACTTATCTGGGACTTCATGGGAAGTGTTCTGCCAGCTTTCAAGGCCCTACACAGCCTTATTCCATCCCTCCATTTTTCTGTATTGCTCACTTCCCTGGGTCTTTGTTAGGACTGAGTTACCCGTTCATCTTCATGCCTGGTTCAGCTACCGAAGTGAACAGAACAGAGGTCCTTTCGTTAACTTGAACCTTCCATACTCAAAAATTTCTCAGATTTCTAAAATTTCTCCTTTGCCTTTCACATCTTCCTTCTGGATAATTTACTAATGGAAGTTAATTTTGGTTTAAATTGATTCTTGAATATTGACCTTTGAAGTCTGAAAACTTATTTTTGTAAAAATAGACCAGGTTTCACTTGGTACTTTAGAAAATTTGCTGCTTTGGAAAATATGCTACTTCAGAAAACGTCAGTTAAATGATTAGTGTTAGACAAAATTTTGCGGTTAATGCTAAACTGATGAGGTCCCTCTGGCCTCCATTTTTAAATGTGAGATCATATTGTAATAATCTAGTGATGTCCTCGTAATTAATTGAGGGTAGTGGGTTTAAAGTTTCTCTGCATTGCTTCATTCAATCTGATAGCTGGCTGGCCGGGTGTTATCCATTTCCTGTACTATTATCATGACAAAGACTGCTGTCCTTTCACTATGCAAACAACAGATATAATACAGTGAAACATAATTGGACCTTGGTGTTTATGCTGGAAAGGATGTTGCTGGGTGGCTTGGGTTTTCTTCTGTCCAATTCATCGGGGCATTTTTGGATTATTGGTTATGATGTAGCTTTATGGCAAATGTTGCTGTGTGCTCTAGTGAGAAACGGGTGTTAAAGAGTCTGGTTCCACAGCTATCTCTGTGTCCCTTGAAGCTGTATTCCTTTTCATATTTAAATAGTGCCTAGCATAGTACCTTGCATGAACTCGGGCTCATATTAAATTCTTGTAACATTGATTTGTGTTTGTGCCATGCCCTTCTTGAAATGCTCTCACAGCATTTTGCATTTGATTATCAATCAGTTTTTGTTTAATTGGAGTCATAAAACTAATTATATGAATTCCATTCTGATATTATGGCTTAAACTTGGATATCAGATTCCCTTAGCAAATGGGTAGAAGGGGAAGTATTCTTGCCTTTTGCCAATTAGGAGGCTCAGGTTCCCCTGGCCTTCTTGGTTTTCTTGGGCATTTCAGCCCAGGAACCTCATTTCTGACATGGGCTCCCTCCTTGGCCCCTGGATCCTGCCTCACCATTACCTTCCTCATGAGCCCCTGCTGTCTGAGACCTAAGATGGTGGGGAAAGGAAGGCAGAGGAGGGAGGTGGAGGAAAAAAATGAGGAGACCATTAGGAGGGCTGCTTTGTTCTCAGTCCCCTGTGTCTGTGGGCATAATACTGAGGAAGTTTAAAACCTCCCTAGAAGGTTGTGGGTCAATTCAGTAAATATGTGCAAAATACCTTTAAACTGCTTGGCTGGGAGATAGGCTGAGGACCCAGATGAGGTAGTATTTCAAACACAGCATTCTCTTCAAATGCAGCCTCCAGGCAGGTAGAAAGACACAGAAACTTGCAGGTTCTGGAGAAAACCAGCATGTCTCTGACTAGGGCTTCAGATGCTTGTCAGAGTCAGGTACTTAGCATTCAGTTTCATAACAATATATCAGTATGGTAGACATTTGGGTTATTTTTTAAACATAAG